TTTTGTGTATTAGTTATTTGTTTCACCTTTGCTGATGTTTCTTATCCTTGTTGATATGGTTTTAAGACTAATCAGTAAAGTTGAAAGTTGAAGTAGAAATTGGAGTGGCTGGAATCCTGAAGAGATGACTATATTGCAAGAGACAGTATGTTACAGCATGGTTGCTTTGTACTTCTAAATACAAGATGTTATATGGAAGATGGTAGATTGTGGAGAGTTATGCCCATGTCTCTTCATTCCCTTTAGTCATTTCTCACCTTCTCTAGCCAGTGGATGGAGAAGAAGGAACAAGATGAATAGGGCAAATGAAACACAATCAATTCCTTGACTGGAACGGTTCACTACTTGCTTCACTGAACCTATTTTTAAATATAACCAAGGAGACAGCCCACAGAAATTAATGGTTAAAACCAAAAGTTTAAGGCAACAAATGAGACAAAGCAAGAGGAGGAGAAGGGTAGATTAGGACTAAGAGGAAATCAGAACAAGAGAAAAGCCAGTAACTTGTCATGTCAGTGAGGCACACTTCCCCATTCTTTGTGAACAAAGTCTCGGTGTCACCACTTCAAGTATAACCCACCACTTTGTTCTTCAGCCCAAAACAACTTAATCATAGGCTTTTGGGTTACGCTGCAAAATGTTACCATTATTACCATCCATTATTTAGAATGACTGAACTTGCCTTTCAGGCTTTTTCTTCAATGCATAGCTATGCTGTTAAATCACTTCCAAATTCTACTTTATTTTAAAATATAATTTTCTGGTGAAGATTGCATTTTATATATTTTGATCACAGTGAACTAAACAGGATACTGTCACAAGAGATCTGGAGTGCTTATGCAACATTTAATGTAATTTTACTAAGATTTGTTATGAGAGACTTGGTGATGATCAATACATAGCACATTCATCATATTTAGTGTTTTCTGTTTTGCTTTTTGGAGCAGAAATACACTTTCTTGTATCCTTTCATAAAGATGGTTGGTGAGTACTTTATCAACCTAATTCTAAACCCATATCATGAAAGTCATCCTAGCATTGTACATGGTTTTATCATAACTGAAAGTGAAAGATTGCTGGTACAATAAACAAAGTGTATTTGCTGTCACAAATGCAAAATGTAGGCATATGCATGATGCAATACAAGAAGCAAACAATAATATATCAGGAGGATTTGGTCAAGTCTGCAAACTATATTTAAAACTATCTCATTGCTAAAAGCACTCAGCAACAGGGACCAAGAAAATACGTAATGAAGAAATTGCCACAAGGAAGCTGATTCAGGAATAGCATTTGATGTTGCATTTAGAGACGACTTTTAGACTCCTCCGTGTTTAAGCCATCTCTTATATTCTGATGATCATTTAGTCATGCACTAGATAGAAACTCCACTGCAGTTTCCTTTTCATCAGTTAACTCCTTAGCAGTCAAATCCATCTTCTCACGGGAGAAGTCGTTAATAGGAAGACCTTCAACAAACTTCCATGTTTTATCCTGTAAAGATATTGGTAAGATTAAAAACTTTAACATTCTCTACCAAGGCCACTTGATTTGGGCTGCAAAACTCTACCACTATATGGTAACAAAGAGATAGTATTTTTATATTATTTTGCTGGTTGCCTGGATTTTTGCACTCAGATATGATATGCCTAGCTAAAGACACTGCATTAGCAGAGGCTTAATTTATTACACTAATCTGTTTTTGGTTTTTTGTTTTGCTTAAAAAACTCTAGTCTTGGGAAAAAAGATTTCTAGGTATCTAACTACACATTTTTACCCCCCTCACCTCGCCTTAGTAACAGCTGCCCCCACTGAACAGTCTGAAGTATTAACAAGTAAAAATCAGAATTGAAATTTTTTTTGAATCAAATGCATGTGTTTATAAGACAAAGAGGAAATGTACTTATCTGTAATTTAAAGATACATTTTTGTCTATGCTTGTCAAACATGTATCAAATATATAATTTTAGAAATAACCATTCAAATACTGCAAATCTGTGGTACCTTTAAAGGCAAAAGCATTCTATAACCTTGTTCACAGCAGCTTGCCACTGTGAACCAACATTTGGGAATCTATTTTACTCAATGCAGATTTATAGGCATTGATATTTTGTCAAAATATTGAAGGAGAATTCAAGTTATGAGTTCTACTTAGGAAGGAGTATGCTAGAAACTGTCACATTAAAAACAGTAAATATAGACTTTTATTCAGGTACAAAATTAAGTATATTTCTTACACACCTTTGATAATACAACAGGAAATGAATAGATCAAATCATCAGGGATACCATAGGAGTTCCCATCAGAAATAACACCCATAGAAACAAATTCACCCTTTAAAAGAAAATAAAAATAATTAATGTGATATGTTTCTGCCAGTGCAAGGGTTCACGCTGTAATGCTTTGTGTAAAAATATATTCCAGAAGTTCTGTGTCTTATAGCATTTCACTATATTCTAATAGTTTAGCAAAAGACTAAATTGGTATCTTTATTCTCTTTACAGTTAGGATTATTAAATTACATCCCACTCCTGCAAAAAAATTCAAGAAAACATACATATCTCTATCAACCAGGGATCAAGTGTGCGCAATAAACATGAGCTGATTATTATGTTTTGAAGAGCAAATGTTCATGGGCCACACAATATTTACCTCTGGAGTGCCAAACCAGATGTCTCTCACATGATCACAGATAGCTTTGGCTGCAGACATTGCACTGGACAGTTTCCTGGCCTTAATAACAGCTGCCCCCCGCTGCTGAACAGTCTGAAGTATTAACAAGTAAAAATACAGGATTATTTGTATGTACCGCTGTTAGTCCTCAATGACGTCTAGAGAATCCAACTAATCGAATCAGTTATAGACGTTGTTCCAATGTCTTGAACTCTATTATTACAAGTGAAGGAAAAAATACTAAGCTTGAACATAGTACATAGTATTGTTCAGTAACAGAGAGAACATCTTAATAGCATGAAGCTTTTGTCTGGAACTTGTGGGCAGAAACAGCTTGGAGGCAATTCAGGCAATGCAAAGTTTCAACAAAGAGACACACATAGGATGGTTCGAATTTTATAAATAATTTGATCTACCTTCTGTATAGACAAATAAGATGCACCCCTATGCAAATCAGCCACACTAAAGATAAAATGACTAGGTATATTAGAAACTATACCAACATTTTTATTTAGAACACAAATAGATTTTCTTTGTCCGTGACACAGAGGTACACTATTTTCAATGCTGCTCTTCAGAATCAATCAGTACTGACATATCTGGCCACCCCAGCTGTATGCTGCCAAAGTGAAAACAGAAACACAAAAGTCTAAAACCATTACTTACTGTAATGAAGTCACCTTTCAGCCAGTTGTCATTTTTCACAGCTTCATAAACTCCAGTGTATTTCCCTTGTACTTTCACCTTGGCATGGTTAACATCTGGATACTGAGTAGAAGAGTGATTTCCCCAGATGATGCAATTCTTGACATCCTTAGCAGTTACACCAACTTTCAGAGCAATCTAGTTTGAGGTTAGGGAGAAGAAACTGCCCATGTCATTTTGATCATTTCAAATATGTTTTAGTTAAATGCACTGCTTTCAGAAAAACACTTCACTTACAGGCTATCTGCCAACTGGAATCTAAAAATTCATGCCTACCTGAGATTTAGCTCTGTTGTGATCCAAACGAGTTAAACAACTGAAATTTTCTTTTGGAATGGTTGGAGCTGATTTTGAAGCAATTAGGCAATTAGTGTTTGCTGGATTACCTACTACAATAACCTGACAAAGAAAAGAAAAGTCAGACTTAATTACAGGAAGGCTATTGAATGACAGGAAGCGTAAACTGTCCCAAGCTCTATAATTTTGCTTGCTGGAGAAAATGTTATTTCATTCAATATTGTTTTTTAATGTTCCCATGTCCTACTATTGCCTTAACATTATTTGTAATTCTTCCACACCATGGAGACTTGGAGAATGCATTGATATAGCATTAATGCTGTTTTAGTAAACAGCTGGATCTGGTTGAGGGAGTCAGCCAGGACAGTAGACTATGTCACTTATATTCACCTTAACTGTCTTCTTTGCATACTTGTCCAATGCTGTTCCTTGGGACTTAAAGATTTTCACATTTGCCTTGAGAAGATCTTTCCGTTCCATGCCTTCTTTTCTTGGCATTGAACCAACCAAGATGGCTACATCAAGGTCTTTGAATGCAACATCTTCTTTGTCAGTTGCAATTACCTCTATAAGCAGAGAGGAAGAGATCAACAGCTGCATCTAAAAGATGAGTTCATGGCTCCATTTTGAAAAGAAATCAATAACTTAGCATCTACTGATAGCTAAACACAGCTCTAGTTGAAATTTCCATGTGAATATAAAGTTCTGTTACTATTTTCAGATGCCAGCTTATCATAATAGAGATAAATACTTCAATCTGTGAAAAGGCAGAATATGTATCTAATGAAATGTAACTTCATGGCTTTCATTCTTGATACTTTTTTTCTTATGGTCTTCAAAATAAAGCTTAGTTACAATCAGATAATGAAAGCCATGAACAGAAATTAGGTTGTTCACCACTGAAATTGTATTGTAAAATCAGCATAAGACAGTTGAGTTTTAATTGTACATAACGTTCATAAAGCAAAATCTATGTGTGCACTATTTAATAATTTCATGCCTTTTAAAACATTATTTTTTTATTATTACAAATGAAATGTTTTGGCGCACTTGAAATATTGTGTCTTTAAACCTGGTGATTCATTTCCTATACAAGCTGACATCTCTTCTGTTCACAAAACAACAGCAAGATACTTATTTCCATAAATAATGTTGTGAAACTGGCAGTGTGTCTTGTGTCCAGAGGTCTTTCTCATCCAATCTAAACATTTGCATAAGATTAATTCTGATTTTTTGTCACCTCTTAAAAGAGGAAGAGCACAGTCTTGCAGTTCCATAAGTACACCATCCAAAACAGTCATCATGGGAGTGATATCCAACAGCACAAGAATAAGAGGCTGTAAAATAAAAATAGTTGTGTTTGTCGCTTAGAACAAATCTTTGGCAAAATTGAATAGATACGTACAATTAGACTGGATTTCTATTGTCTTATCAATTCTCCATGATATTCAAAATACTGGGCAGGTAGCACTATCCCTTCTCTCACATAAGTTAGTCTTCAGTGATATCTCATCCTTGCTGGGAAAGTCCTTGAGAAAGTCCACTCCAACTACTTCAGGCTCATTACTGTTGTTTAGGGATAATATTGAATTTTTTTTTACCCATTACCTGTTCAGTGCCAAAAACGTCACCCTTTGCAATGCTGTAGAGCAGAGAATATGCAATCTGTCCAGCAGCGCCGGTCACTAGGACTCTGATTGGTTCAGACTGGAAAAGAAAGGATATTTGTAGAATCCAATAAATAGCATCGGGAGATGCATTATCTCTTACTATTTACAAGGTACAGAACTTTTTTTGGTAGCACTGACATTTTAAAGAACATATAGTTTTGAAAGAAAATTGTGATAAAATTTGCTAGTGTAATCAGCAGGATAAGTGCAGGTGACATTTAAGAGAGAGCTAGCCAGACTGTCAGGCATTCTTCAGCTACCTTCAGCTATTCATAGATACGGGTTAGTAAGTAAATTATAATATGTCCTCTTAGAATTGGAAGGACAGATGTCACAAGACAAGCCATTTCCTACCTTCTAAACAGTTTTGTATAACAATATTAGCAATAGTATGATATTAAAATCTTATCTCCAAAATGCACAGATGCAAGAAGCATTGTTGTTGTTGTTGTTG